ATCCATCACCTCCTACGAGATGGCTTATGGTGCCTGATGAGCAGGCACATTCACAGAAGTTTCGGATGCAACTGCAGGTGCAGTGGTCCGGGGTCCGGCAGATTCTGAAGTCTGCTGAACCTGTTTGGCAGGAGGCGGAGCAGCACAGGCTACTCTAGCCTTGGGCGCAGATGCCGCGACCGTAGTCACACTTCGTGTGACATTCGCAGATACGGAAAGATGTGGCACAGCACCCTGGCGCGTCACATCTGCAAAAGAAGGAGAGCGCTTGTTATGGAGGGAGAAGCGCTGGCGCGCCTCTTGAAAAGACAGATTGAATTTAACTTTGAGTTGAAGAATTTGTTTTTCCTTTTTCGAGGATGGGCACGTTGGTGAGTAGGCGGGATGGTCTCCATAATTCGCACAGCGCGCTGCAGCCATACAATTGTCCGATGGGTGTTCGTTGAAGCTACAGTTTGCGCAAGTCGCACGCCCTTTGCAGCTTTGCGAACCGTGTCCAAAGCGCTGCCATTTGAAACACCTACGAGGATTTGGTATGTAGGGCCTGAATCCAAGCTTGCAGTAGCCGGTTTCGATTGAATCGGGTAAATCGCTAGTACCAAAGGTGATAATTATATGTTTCATTGGTGTTTCTTTGTCTCATCGTATTACTATTCTTCGAACCTTCACTACATTCTGGTCTTGCCAGCCTTCCAATAATTCACTCTCTGATAATCCAAGAAGGTCGTCATCAGAGATGACACCGCGGACTGTGTTCAAGGACTTGTGGGGGCCTACGGAAACTGGGACATCCCCAAATGCTACCAGTTTAGGTAAATTGTCATATTGCAGCTTGTCGCGAACCTCCAAAAGGAGGTCGCCACTTCCCAACTTGGTTACACGATATCCTGGCCCGATTGCTTCTGTGAGTGTTTTTGAGACAAGAAAGGGTGAGATTGCTCGGACTGTTTTGTTTTCTTTCTGGCTATGTATGACATGAAACTTGGGGAAAGACTGCTTTGGTTTTGAAAGGAGGAACGGGTCTTCGGTGCGCCACCTTTTCGGGCGACGATCAGGGAGAGGGGGGAAAAAGTTAGCCATACAGATTGTTTAAAGTTCGGCGGCAATGGTGGCCACCCACCACCGAGCCCAACAAGAGGACGCTACAAGGTTGAATAGTAAACACTTGGAGACGCCAGCCATGCATCGCCGCTGTAACCGAATATAACTACCCAAGGTTGGGTAACTACACAAGGTTAACCCTTGCCGCCTGGAGGATGGAGTGAGGAGATGACAGGAAAGATTGAAATAGATAAAGAGACGAAGATCAGGGGAGACAGAGAGACAGGAAAAGGCGACTACCGATTTCCCCTGGGTGGGTCAGCCCAGGGGTGCCATCTACATGAAGCCGGGGCCAAAGAGGTGTGTTGCCTCTGCCGGGGGGCCTTAAAGGTCCAATCACCCAGCGTCAGCTCAACCCCCAGGATCCTCTTTTCCCCGGACACGGCAAAGCCACGCACGGCTAGGTGTGGGAGGGGGTCGAAACCCCCCCCATTAGCTTGGGTCCGTGGTGTCGCTACACACCAAACGTCTGCTTGCGCAGACGCCCCTGCGGGACACATTTCGATAGAGGCGAAATAGTAAAGGCTCGTGTAGCGTGCGATGTCGGGGTATGTGAGAGAACACCAAATGGTCAAAATTTCCGGAGCCTTCCACTACGGTCTCTCATAATAATCTCTCAGTTTGCAGACGTAAAACCCCCAATATTATTATAATTATAAATGTGCAGCATTAGTTCCTTGAAAAAGCTATTGATGTTCCCAATTCTGTTACGAGGGGCACATTGCACACACCACCTGCTACATTTACAGCATCGCAAGTAATAGACTGTGAAATGTGCAACAATGATTATTGAAAATAAAAAGAAATTCAAGGATTTTCCAGGGCTTTCGAAAATTCCAGTACTTTCAAGGACTGAAAAGCAAACTTTTCATATTCAAGGATTTTCAAGGGTTTCAAGGACCCGCATGAACCCTGTTGCAGTGATTGACTTCACAATGTTTGCAAACAGGGAGAGGTCTATTGTCGTCAGTGCCCCTCTAGAAAAGTAGTCCTGGCATCACCCCTGCACGGAAGAGTAGCTAAGCAGGGGCTTTTCTCTGATCGCAGTCTGTATAAAAAGCAAACATGGTCTGGCGTACGTGATAACAAATCTAAGAACTTAAATTTACCATCCCTTGGCTGGTAAAAATGGGACGTGCCGCGCACATGTAGAAAGAAAAACAAAGAATTGCATGAGGCCACAGGCAGCGGGATGCTGCAGATAAGAGGCAGAATATAGATGTAGAGATGCGTTTCAAATGTGGAAGAAAAACAATCCTAATTTTGATGACTGAAGTTGGCGGTGTGTCGCATTATGCGAGTGCACCCATTACGCAAGTAGATACGGTGATTGTCAGCATATTGAACGATGTTTTTGCAAGGCCATTTGCTGGCTTCAATATTTGGCTTCAATATTCTCGCTCGCATATTCCAAGAAAATTGGGCTAATTTAGTATCGGAGTCACCTTTGAACATATGCATATACCAGGTCTTTGTACGTACGATTCCCCATTCCATTCAATAAAGGTGGATCACGTGTAAAAAAAACAGTGTTTCAAGGAACAAGCCTACTGACAAGCCACATTTGTTGGCAAATCCCATTTCATTATGTTCAGTAAGGCTCTGTTTTACAACCGACATTAAGGAACTATGTGGAATGCTGTAATACAAGTACCGGACACCAATGCCAAAATATTGCAATTACCAGGGCTTGAGGTTGTCAAAGAGGCAACCAAGATATCTGCATTTGGTGTTTGCGTTTGGTACACAGAAAGAGTTAAAAACATCAAGGTAACAAGCTGTTCTTTAAGACATGTAGAAACCTCAAGTTGCCAAGAATTTCTTTGACACAATAGACATAAACGGAGCATCAGGCTTATATGTTTTGGCTGCGAAAAACAGCTCAAGGTGCAAGTTTTCCCGAGCGTTCCATAGCAAAAGCAAGCTGTTCAAGATCGTGGTTCAACAGTAATACGACAGCCTTGTCCCTAACTTTCCTAGCTTTTTTCTTTAACAAGAACAAAATTTTTCTGAACTGAAACAAACAGATAAAATAACAAGGCAATTTTCCTTGTCTGAGGAAAGAAACCACAAGTTATTCCTAATACCATAGTTCACCAATTTTCTTACATGCTTTTGCTTTCAGCTGGAGGCTGCCGTTTTCTTCAGTGCACGCATGCATTCCATAGTAAAGCATGGGTGCTCTTTTTCCAACAAACGACAACCAAGGGTCTTCATCAGAGGCACTTTCTCTCTTTGAGTGAAGGTTGTCTAAAAAAAAAAATTTGGTCCCATTCCCTTTGCTGTTGTTATTTCTTAAGCACTTTTTTTCAAAAATGAATAACAACAAACTCGCCCGATTGTCCCTCCTACTAATACAAATGATGGGTTTTAGCAAATTGTAAAATGGAGTACATTGTTCAGTTCAATGTATATATGAGAAGGCACCTCAGAGCCCTCAGCACCAACCCCCAAAAAATCATAAAGTACAAGAACTGCCAACTATGCTACGAAGAGAGGTAAGTCGAGCAGAAAAAAAAACTTTTTCGGCAAAACATGCACAGCCAACATTTGCTTCATCATGTCAATAAACTGCTTTGCCCAATGGCACAATAGGCACAAGTGCCTATATTTTTATGTGTATGTAAATAACTACTGCACTTACAGAGCTCATACTGTTCATAAGTGCCTTGTATTCAAATAGCACTTCGGCTACTTTTCATTTTTGCCACCTTTGTGCAAAGTACCATTGATGTTTTTAAAATAAAAATAAATTGTTGAGGTTTAACGTCCCAAAACCTCTTATGATTATGAGAGACACCATTGTGGAGGGCTCCAGAAATTTTGACCACCTGGGTTCTTTAACGTGGACCTAAATCTAAAACACAAACCTCAAGCATTTTCGCCTCCATCGAAAATGCACCCTACGCGGCTCGGATTCGATCCCATGACCTGCAAGTTAGCACCATTGATGTTTTTATGAATGTGTATTTTGTTTACATTTTTAACGCGAGCTCGTTTTGAAAAAATTCCGGTGCCACTGTTGGTGGTTCTGAGTGAAAAATCATCATCTCTACGCGACTTAAAAATTGAGAATGATCCAAATAAAATGAATAATACAAATTCTTGGTGTGAGTGGGGGTTGAACCCGGGTTGTTTGGGTGGCAAGCGGGTGTTCTACCACAGAGCCGCGCGCCCGCTTGAAAATACAGTGAAATTAACTTCTTCTGCTTAGAAATGCAATTAAACTAACTTGAATGCTTTGCAAACGCACGCATCTTGTAAACATGCTTCACACTGTAACATGTAATATCACATAAATAATGCATGGTACAAGTGTACATTGCGATCGGGCATCAAAACATGCGATTATCACGACTTCATGGTTTAAAACGAGCCACCCACTACAAAAGGCACAGATGTTACTGGGCCTTTTCCCTTATGGCCACGAAGTGAGTGCATAGCAAGCTCGAAAAGATTTCACGTGCACAATTGCCCGTGGTTTAAAGCATGCTAACTATTCCACAGAATGCAGCTTTATGCTGAAGCTTCACCTACACAAGCCATTTTGAACTCGTATGCACTAGGGACAGGATATCGCTATCGCGTTCAACTCTTAAAGACGTAGCTTAGGAGTTCCCCCCTCCCTTTTTTTTTTTTTCTTTTCTTTTTGAGGAGTGCTTGATATTTGATACTGAGATTTAATTGTAAGATTGCCTGATACTTGAAATAAATATTTGTTTTAAATTAACACCGTTAGAAAGACCAACGTTTTCTATATCATTCAATATTTTACACTTTTGTATAAATCAATTCATATCACAAATCACAAAAAAAAGAGTTTCCTGGACTACCCAAAAATAACCGATTTTCCCCAGGTTGCAAAAGTTGATTATAAAATTTCGGTGTACAACACGTACCTGAGTGCAAAGGGGCACCGGTAGGCATCAGCTTGGAGCACTCCACGCATGTGCAAGGTCAGCAGACGACCCATAGCTGCAACAGCACCACTCGGCTGTCTGCAACACGAAACATGGCCAAACAAGAAATACTTAGCAGAATCATAGACAGGTGGATGAATTGGTTTGGGTTCAGAATAAAGTTAAAGTGCACCCTCAGTGAAAATTTGTGTGACGATGCTGGCTGCATACCATAAGAGGCATTTTTCAATAAACACTTCAGTTGGGAGCACAGCACATGTCCCGTCTTCATTTTGTGCTTTGCATTCGTTTTAGTGCTGCCCCCATTTTGTTTTCATTGTGAAATACTTAGTACGTATGATGTTCATTTTGAAACAGTGCACAAGACGGAGGACACAGACTTGACAACACAAGCACTGAGTCTCCAAGTCTTTCAATCAAGTCTGTGCACATGAAGTGATAAATGTGAATATGTCTAGCAGAACGTGTACAGCAGAGCACCACATGCCCTTTGTCCCTTGCAAAACCAATGCTGTTTATTTCGTTCAACTGTCATACAGTAAAAATTATCTGGGGCAAACAGGACGCTGCCTCTATAAGTGCCTGCGTGAGCACCATAGTTTTTCTAAGGGTGTGCCATTTTCGCATTTGTCTGCCCACTGTGCCGCCTTATATTGCACCCTGGACGACCACCATTTTCGGACACCATTCTCGCACAAGAGAAATAGCCGAAACCTTCCCTATGTGAAAAAATGGCGACACGTGTGTTAGCATTGCATTACTTGATTGCAACTTTATTTAATTAAATATGACGTAATAATGTTACAAGTCTAGTCTTGTCATGTGCACAGGTTGCATGTGTACATTCTGTTCTTCCTTCTTCCCTTTCTTTTTCTGCTTTGTTTGAATAGTTATAAGTCAGCATTTGCCTTGCCAAGTCTTTCTGTGTCCGTCTCTTGAACTGTTTCAATATAACTGAAACCAATTAGCCCAGCTTTCCTCTTGCTGCAAGTACAACATAATCAATATAAGACTATTGCTTACCCCACAAATTGCATGAACACACAATTGAATGTACCGTATTTACTACCATGATTTGTGCACTTTTTTTGGAAACCTGAAAAGGGAATGCGCCAATTAAGCACAGATTCCACGAATGCATTCAAAATAACGTCCAATAGTATATAGTCCTAATACACACAGTAAACTGTATTTACTCCCGTAATGAACGCACTTGCATAATAAACCCACCCCCAACTTCAGTATTCAAAATTTGAATTTCTTTTTTTTTTTCCTGCCTAGTAAACGCACCTTCTACAATCATCCGCTGCAGTCCCGCTAACCGACACCTGGCGCCTTCTTACCCGTTGGATCTCTTCCGTTCTTTATTATTATGCCGACCCCCCTCGGCTCCCTTGCCTCGCTCCCTCCCTCCCCCTTTGCCCGTTACCGCATGCTGTAGTGTTTTTCTTCCAATCTGTACGCGGCACGTCCCCTGTCTTTTTTTATCTGTTCCCCACAACGGGGTTGATGAACGGTGCGAGTGTAGAGACGTCGCAGCTGATAAGCACACAGCGAGCGAAGGTCACGAAACTGCCCGCGCTAATCGACAGTCGCTTCCTGCAAATACGAAACATTAAGGCCCTACAATGTGCACACGACTTTAAAGCGACAAATACAGGAGTTTCTGTTGCGAAGGTTCATTCGTCGCTATCGAATTTCTGGAAAACCAGAAAGGCTGCAGGTTTCTGGAAAACCAGAAAAAAATCACTTGTCACCTAGAAATGATCGTGATTTCCGCAAAATGGTAGTACCCCCAATTCTCTCTTCTCATGTTCGCCCCGCGTAGAGGAACTTCTCTTGTGGAAGTGAGGCGGCGGCCGTATTTTGTCGTTAATCTTGTTATCGACGGTTTGTTTTGATGTTTCGGGGGTAGCTTGCTGCAATGTTGGGTACTTGCAACAATGACAACGGTGTCGCCGCGGCCGTCGTGCGAGGTTGCCACGAAGTTGGCAAAGTGCGTTGTAGCGTCGTAGCGCAGGCTTCTGCGCGCCCTTTGAGGTCACAGCAGATACCACTGTTGCGGTTCAAAGATTGCAAGAAAAGATGGCCACTAAACAGTTTCATGGCGTGCGCGGGCAACGCGGGGACAGCTTGCAGAAGATGTAAAGTTCAACAAAGAAGCTAGTATTTCCAAACAGTATAAATGTAGGTCAATCGCAAAAGGCTTTTTCTTTTTTACATTACCTTAATTTTTGCTAATTCCGAAAAAGATTTCATAAAATTTTCCCCGCATAGTAAACGCACCCCCAACTTTGCTCTGACTTTTCGAGAAAAGAAGTGCGTTCAATATGCGAGTAAATAGGGTACAATTCTTTTTAAAATTAAGATAAATTGGAGCACAAACAAAGTGTACTTCATCATTCAACAGCCAGATCCAGTCACACACACTCTAGTCGGAATTACTAGTCGAGAGGTCCCATTGGGAATAGTCATCACAGCCGCTGTCACCGCCCTCTAAAAACATATCGTACTCAATGCCATTGAGCGAGTTGAAATGCCCCATTTTTTAAGCTCTTCTCGACAGAAACTAGGTCACACCACACGGTGATACCAAAGGACCTAACCTTTCGCATACAGTTGAAAATGTCTATTTCAACAGCAGCAAACTTGTGCATTAGCAAGCGCGCAATCTTCAGCTTTCTTCAATATCAAAGTACACGTGTTGAAGAACTTCACGCTGAAAACGTTTGGCAATGACAGGGTTCCCTTTTTTTATTTGGAAAACTTTACACAGCAAGCTTGAATATTGTTGTACATGTGATTATTGTAGCCCATAGCAAGAGAACAGTAAAAACGTGACGGACGGGTGGCGAAACCTAAACTTACGAAATCAGCCAAGTGTGCATTGAAGCTCAGACGCAGAGAATGATGGGAACAGTTGGCGCGAGAGGCCCTCACACACCAATCCAGCAAATTGTCCGTGCTGTGATGTGAGTATGCACTGTCAAGGTTGAAAGATGGGGAGATTGCACTGGCCTCCATTAAAAAGGTTGGACGACGCACTTGTTAAGCTACTGGAAGGTCCCTTCACTATCTGGGAAGCTGGCTTCTTCTGGGAGCTTTAGGTGTGTAATTGAAATATTATCTGGTGGCGGTTGTTATTGTGATCGTAATTTTGGTGTTTTTTTATGATATAACCTTCTCGCGGTCATCCAACGCTACACGAAAAGTGACAGACGCGGTAGCGATGCCGTCTGAATATGGCGCAGTGCTGTTATATACGAAGTTACAATTACTCATTAGGTGACAGAAAAAAACCAATTGTCACGCACTTTTTTACAAAAAAAAACAATTGGCAGATCCCATGTACAGTGGGAATAGATGATATGCGAAGCACGAATAAGAATTGTTGATATTTCACTTTAAAATAAGCACAACATTACGAGGTGGAGGTAAATTATGCTGTGCATTACTTCCGAGTCATGATTATCATGTTTGGATGTGTCGTTCACCTTCGTCATCTATTCACGTCACGTGATACCAAATTTAGTATATGTGGAGCTAGCGCAACGTCCACGAGAACGCTATGAGCATGGTATGTTGTCATGTTTTTACATGACATGCATGTCAGGATTATGTTTTTACCAGCCATATATTTCGTCATCCATTGACGTCACGTCACACCAAATTTGGTATATGTGCAGCAAGCAAAACGGCCACGAATGCATCATGAAGGGCCCAATATACTCAAATGTAGCGTTGACGTGAGCGCACGCTGGGCACAGCAGCACTACGTTAGCAAAACGCGAGCACTCTATAGTCTGACGCCACGCGTGACCAGCGTCCGTCGCCGCGGTTCGACGGCAACAGGCGCGAAATGCAACATGCTGCATTTCGTGCCGATGCGTTACCCAGACAACACTGCGTCTCCTCCTTTTGATGACAGAGGGACACCGGACGTGCTAAAATGCGCATGCGTCAAAGCAACGCGGCGCGGCGCGCGCCTGCGAGTATATGACAGGAGTGGTGCCTGTGGCGCGATGAAATGAATTCCGGCGAGCACACGCATCGCGTCATGTCGAAATGTATCGGTGCCTTGACTGTGACATGTCATGTTGTCACCCCATTCACAACAGCTGGTTGAACGAAGCAGCGGCGTCTTGCTCAAGAACGAACCGTCGGCGCAACTTATGTCGCTTATAAACCAGATGAAGAGCGTGTCACAGATGCTAAGACAAGTTAACGAACAGATTGAACCGTTCATTGAAGAAGACGACGCAGAGGCAGAATTCGAAAGAGCTTTGCAGTATGAGATGAGGATCATCACCGCAACGACAAAAATAGAGGAGCAATTACGCGAGTTAGAACAAGCGACGCAACTGACTACGAGAATAGTCACAGAACAGGCTAGCTCAGTGCAAGGTACTAACAAAATCTCGGAGACGCAAGAGCTTGTTAAGTTGTCACATCTTGAGATGATAAAGTTTGATGGAAAAAAAACAGCATGGCCAAGGTATTGGCATCAGTTCGAGACATCGGTGCATAACAGAGTGAACATGCCATGAATTAAAAATTTAATTACCTTCTGGCGTCTCTGAGCAGTGAGGCTGCGTCTCTCATAGAAGGTTTGCAGTTTTCTTATCAGTATTACGAGCATGCAGTCGCTCTTTTGAAAGAAACATTCGGACGACAAGATAATTTAAGAGAGACCTACATAAAAGAGCTAGTAAACGTGGAAGCAGTGAAGAGTCCTAAAGATGTAGATGGGTTGAAGAAACTCTTCCAAAAGTTGCAAGTGAACACGCGAGCATTCCAGTCATTAGGAGTGGAAATGGATAGTTATGCCACAGTGATAGCTCCTGTTATAAAATCTGCGCTACCGGTGGGTATGAGGATTGAGATGAATATGAAGGAGATAGAGAAAGGTGACAACAGACCAGTAACCACGGAATCGAACTCAGCGTCAAGAGACAGCACGAGCAGTTTGAAAGAACTTATGGAGTTTTTAAATATATATATATATGCAGCAGAAAAGAAACTCGAGAGGGAAAATACGTGACCCAGTCACCGCACAGTATGAGGCGGACTAGAACATA